GTAAGCAAGTGCATCAATCAAAATGTACATTTAGCCTAACTATTCCAAAATCTTAAATAAAGGCATAGATTCATACATGTGAACATGTATACTTAGCTAGTAAGCAAATGGATTAATGAGCATAAATAAATTAAAATACACCATTGCAATTAACCCTAACACAACACCACCACCACCAAATAGTCAAACACTAATTTCATTGATTACCCACGATTTGCAGCGAAGAAAAAAAGAGGTTTGGCAACCCAGAACGCCGGAAACCTGACTCAGCGACCCAATTCGACCGCCGGAGGTGTCGGCGGCGCTGAGCTTAGTGGGAGGAGGAGCGACAGGCTTCGCGGCGCATACGACGACGTTCCGTGTGGGACGATGGTGGCGGAAGGAGAAGGAGCGTTGAGTGTTGCATATTGTGTGAGAATCAAGCGTCAGATATGAGATGCTGCTCATTGCGAACTCAAACACAAACACAAGTGTGAGAGAGAAAGAGAGAGAGAATAACAGATACTGTGACGCGTTGAAGAGACTCGAAAAGGGTTCAAAAAAGGTTGCGTTGCGATTTATTTCCAACTACTAACGTTGGATGTTTACAAAAAAAATAAAAATAAACTACTAACGTTGGATTACGATTACAACGAATATTTTGTCTAATTTTTTATATAATTTTATTTATTTCTCTTTGTACTCTTAAACTACAATTTCATTCTCATTTTGTCACGGATAGATTATTCTACCTATCATTTTTTCTGTCTACTTTTGTCTACCACTCTTTAATACCGTTAGATTAGAATCTTAAGAGAAGAGAGAAAGATAAAGATTAGTTGAGATTCTGATCTAATGGTATTTTAAAATAGTAGGCAAAGGTAGGCAGAAAAATGATAGGTAGAATAACTTATCTCATCTTTCTAATGATGATTGAAATTGTAATCCAATATTCTATCCACAAATAAAATAAATATAATATGGGAAAAATATTTCTTCAATCACCGGAGATAAAGTTATCTTTAGTGAGCTCAAAACGACTTTTTATGTTATAAGATTAAAAAATTATAATGATAAAGACTAATATAACCCTGTAATATATTATAATTAAAAAACACCTTAATTTCCTCTTCAAAACGACGTCGTTTTGAGTTCACCGAAGATAACTTATCTTCATGGACAAATAAATTCTTTTACACATACTTAATATGCAAATTGGATTTAATAATGGTTAATTTCTTGATAAATATTTCAAATTTCATTATATATCAATAAAAATCTAATAGATATTTTACCGTACTGGTATTCATAAAAATTAAAAATAATGCATAATAAATCTCAGTTGGAGTGTGTGAGAGATTTTCATTTTGAAACATAATGATAAATTATTTATATTTTATGATTTTTTGTAAAATTATATATATTATGATTAGACTTTAAGATTAATATTTGTTATGTTATAGGAAATAATTTTATTTTTTACACACAAATAAAAATGTGTGAAGTCGTACGAAGAAAAAAAAAATTCTCACATGTGAGTGTAGCAGTGTAGAAAATAAATTTTATTTCTTATGATATAAAAAATATTAATCCCTTAAACTTTTTAAGAACTTTATTTTGATACTCTTTTCTTTTAATATACATACGTGAACTCTTTTTTATTTTTTAATACATAAAGGAAGAAAGAAGAATTAGGAGACAATGACAATTTACCAATATCTATTGGTACCCATAGATTAAAATTCCGTTGTAATTTGACTTTAGTATCATCAAAGATTCGTTTTCGTCTATGATAGTTTTTTTTTTTTTTTGAAACGTCATTGATAATTTCTGACAAGTTACGTATTAAGGTACTTTCTTTGTTGGAGATTATTTATAGTAGTCCTCGCACACCTACTTCTTCCATTGAGAGCTGTCACTTGAGAAAAAAACAAAATTTCTCTCTGTAAACAAGTCCGAAAATACTAATTTTTAATTGACTTGGACCTGTTGGAAATCGACAATCACACAGAATCGAGAAAACAGAAAAAAAGATAAGAGTAGAGAGATTAGACACAGCGATTTACCCTGGTTCTCCCAATATATGCTACGTCCAGCTTATTTATACTATATTCACCTCACCGCTACTCGTTACAAGTCTCTCGGTTTACAAGGCAAATATAAATAGAACTACAAAACCCTAACAGCAGCTATTCATGGGCCCAAGTCCAAACTGCTAAGAAGATTACGATGAAACATAGCGGAACTCCAGTTGCATTTCTGCTGATCCTGATAATTAGGACCGACGTCCACTTGGTGAATGCTTTGTATATTTCTTCAATCCCAATAGAATTGTACACCCATTCAAACTTATCTGAAGACAACTAAACAAATATTTCTTCTTGTCATAAATTATGAATTTTCCTCAACCACTGTCTTACAACCAGAAACTGTTCTGCACAATAACTTTTTTTTATTACAGTAACTCTAAGAAATTCAATAAAAATATATGATAATAGCACCATTATAGTTAACAAAATCCTATACAAAACCGAATCAAATACACTGACACTCTACTTCATTCACTGACGTTTGTTCAATTTGATTCTGTTCCATTGTTCAATGTTGTCCCTTCTTGACAACAAGTAGAGGCACCCTTTCCCTGTGTCCCACAGTCTCCTTCAATTCTTCTGACACTCCACTTTTGGTTGGAGCATTCTCAGTTGCACCTTTCTTGGAACCCTTCCTTGCTAGCCTCTTCAATTCAGAGCAGAATCCAGTGATCTGACCCAGAATTTCTCTACCACCCAACAAATTTTGTGCTGAGAAAGTACTCTTTAGCTTCGATTTTCGATGACTTTCAACAGGATACTCCTTTGAACCATTCAACTGTTCTGAATTCTCCTTGATTGGCCTCATCAATGGCTTTTTCAGCTTGTTGGTCCTACCATTAGGATGTGTAGCAGAAAAGTTTGGATTTTTATTCTCAATGTCTTCATCAAATTTTGTTGAACAACTGGGTCTTCTTGGTTTCTCAAAAGACTTAGCATAGGAACTTTCTGCAGCTGAAGAATTTTCCCTGATATAAAAACATAAAATCAAGGCTAAGCATATAGTTTTTTATTTTATTTTTTTAATTCCCATTTTTCTTCTTTTTGCTTATAGATATGGTAACGTGGAACGTACCTTCGGTTTCTGTCCCTAAAGGGAAGAATATCAGAAATGGTTACAAATCTTAATAGCTTCGTCTGCATGAGATAATGAAGAGGAAAAAGTGGATTAATTTCTATAGAAAAAGGAATTTAATTTATGAGAATAAAAGAAACTAAAATTGAGGTTGCAACCTTGGAATTGGTTGTGGTTGTGGGTTTAAGAAAATCTTGAGCAGTTTTTGGATGCTTGCAATCTGCAAGTGAAGTGAAAAACTCAGCAACAGAGAAAACCCCAGAAAGGAAATTCAAAGTAGACCCTTGTAAAAGACCTCACCGTGAGTGCAAAACCAGGAATCATGATCAACAACAAGAAGCTCATCAGAAGCAGAGAGATCAACCCATTTAGGCGCGTCGAAGTTCTCGTACGTGTCATCTTGAATGAATGTGGAGTCGATGTTGTCCCAGTCAATGTTTTCTGGTTCCATCTTCAGTGAAGAATCTGCAGAGTTTAAGCCAAAAAGAGAATTAGAAGTGAAGTAGAAAAGCAGAATAGAAAGGAAAAGACAGTGGAAAATTGCTGCAAATGTGAAGGTCCCAGGATGTCTTGTTCTATGAAAGAGGTCGAAATGAACTAAAGAAGCTGTGGTTACTGGTGGTTTCTATACTGTAGTTAACTAGGATTTGGATTCAGTAACGTTTGAAGCATCACATTCACAATCGTTGTTTGAAACAAATTCGACCGTTGGGCCACTCTTCATTTTCTGACCTTTGTTTTGTCTTTTTATATAATTCAATATTTTATGACCACTCTTCTTTTAATCCTTTGGAATTTTTAAACAAAGTTGGGTCAAACCTTGAAACAAGCTAGCCCAGCTTCAAACCCAAAGTTGTTTTTAAACTTTTTTTTTTTTTTTTTTTTTGGTAATTTGTTTAAACTTTTTTAAACTTTACACAAGGTCTATTTGATTACTAGTAAATAGTAATAGTATAATTAAACACTGTGCTAAGAAAATTATGAATAACAAAATAGCAAGTTGTTTAAACTTTAAAGAATAAAAAGACAACCAATAATCTGTTGTACTCGAACATAGAATGTTTGGATCCTCTCTTTTTAAGCTAAAAACTACTTTAAGTTAGAGCTAAAAAAAAAGTTTAAAAAAAAAAGCTAAAATTTGTTTGATGATTACATACAATTTTTAGCTTAAAAGTTACTTAAAAATACATATTTCAAGAAAAATTCCACTTTATCTATCTTTATATCTCTCCATTTAAAAAAAAGCATAACATTCAATAAAAGTTGATAAGAGTTTAAAAAAAAGTTCATCCTAGGACCTTTTGACTTTTAGCTTTTTTTATTATAAAAAAAGATTTTTTTTTATAAAATCTATTTTCAAAACCTATTTGACCTACCTTTTATTTATAAGAAGATCCTAACTTAAAAATAAAAAATCCAACCATATACTTAATCATGGGAACAGTGACCAATGTATCACACATTGGTCACTTTTTTACCAGAAAGCTACGCGAACAGTAATATTTGTCAAAATACCACGTGTCCGCGTTCGCTATAGCAGACAGCGAACTCGATTTGCTGATGTGACATGCTTCTGGTAGCCATCTAATTCGCTACTGCGTGTAGCGAACTAGGTGACAATTAATACCTCTCTGCTCTGACAAAAACAAAACGCGTGACAATATCATAGAAGTTCGCTGGAATAATAACAAACTAAGTAAAAATAACTTTTGAAATATACGCCAGATACACATAAATCCACTACACTAGACAGCGAACTATGTGCCTAAAAAGTACCCATCAAGCTTGTCAAAGGGTGATTGTAGCTACTGATTTGCTTTTGTGATTATTGCTTCTATTGATAGATGTGATGTGAAGTCCGAACACATAGATATATAGCACTTTTCCACCTTGAATTATTGACGAACCCATGCTTTTGCCCAGGGGATATATGCGTCAATATATCAAAAGAACATCACTTCTCACCATTTTCTTTGTAGAAAGCATCGAGTAAAATGAACTTTCTTGTCGGACTCTTCTATTATTCTGACTCTTCTAGTCTTTTTGTAACTATTACAATATATAAGTTTTGTTGCATTTTTGTAACTCCTGAATATTTCTTTCTTATACAGGTAATTCGGAACAGTGATATAATAATATAATAATGCAACAAAAATTATTATGCAACAAAATATCTCTATTCAGAACAGTGAAAGAGTATTATAAAAATGCAACAAAAATTATATATTATAATAGTTACAAAAAGATTAGAAGAGTCAAAATACAATAATATAATAATTTTTAATATATTAAAGTATGCTTTTGAATTTCAACAGACATATCCTGTTGTTTTATTATGGCACGCTTCCAAATCCAGTTGTCAGAGTTTTTTTGGACATAGTTCGTTATATATTTTAGCGAACTTGTTCACAGATGGTACTTTTTTTTTGGGTAAGCACATAGTTCACTTGAACTCTCAGCAAACTTGGTGCATTTTAGACTCGTGGCACACTTATCATTCTGGCTTCTTGCTTTTTACAAGAAAGAGAGAGAGAGAGAAAACCATTGTATGCTTTTGGAATTTCAATTAATATTCTAGTTGCTTCATATTTGTTTGAATTCATCTGATCATAGTGAAAGTGAAAATTGTGTTACTGAACACAGTGGGTGATATTAATAATCACTAGAGGTTTGAACTCATGTAAAGGACAGAAGGGGTAGATGATCAAAATTATCACTGTGCAATTATAAATAAAATAAGAACAGACTTACTTGTCAGATGATGAAACAAACAGAATGATGAAACATACAGAATGATATGTCAGAAGAGGAATTAAAATCTGAGCCCACAGAACATGTCTCCTTAAGACAATTTGCCCCCCACAGATGCCAAAGGTTGATGGATACTTATCTCCCAAGATAGAATGGATTTCGTCTGAAGAATGGTGGCACTACCAATCAACAGCCCAAACGAACACAACTGAATGGCAGAGGAAACTAGACCGGAGTATGAAAAGGAACATGCAAAACCGGAAGGAGAAAAATTCTGGCAAAGTTTCAGTGCAGAAAAAATGGATCCATTTTCTGAAGGTGTCAGTGTCTATTTATAGACACTGACCGGTCACGATGAACAGTCGCCGGCGGCGAACCGCCTTGTCTGACGACAGCGAACGGGTATGACTGGTGACCGTTACGACGAACAGGTACAACCGGTGACCGGTTTGGGGAACAGACACAACCAATGACCGGTTCGCGAAAGGGAAGGTTCGGTTCAAATTTGCTAAAAAAACGTTTGGGTTTAAAATTTGGAGGGAAGCAACGGACAAATTTTTGGACAAAATATTAAAAAATTATTTAATAAAAAATTATTTTTATTACACACATATGAACCGAACTGATCCGAGCCGGCCGACGGCGCGCGCGGTGTACCAGAGCCCACCTAGCTCCTCCCCCTCCACAAAATGTGTAGTGACCCAAAGGGCCAATCTAGGAGAGTGAGGTGGGAGCTTATAAACTCTCTCACTTCCTACTATTTGTCCAATGTGGGACTTTGTTAAAAACTCACACACCTCTTCAACCTCCCTATTCTCTTTCCTTTATTAACCCACTTCTTATTCATAACCAATAGATCATTGTTCATTAATTTCAACAATCCCCCACATGGATAAGAAGTCAAATCATCATGACAAAATGCATAAGAGTATAAATGCAAAGTGTAATTTCCTCAACGAGAAACAACTGCATCGAGATAGGTGGAGTTACCTTTGAACCTTCTCTAGTGAAAACCTATCGGATATACTCGGTCAATCGGTGGTCTAGGTCGACTTGAACCGTCAACCTTTAGTGTATACCTAGACAATAGGAGTCACACAATTGCTTCTCTAGCATTGTTGGTCCTTTGTTGCGCCCATTTTGACCATGGGACACCTGCTTGGTTTTACGAGTGTTTTAGAGAATCAAGTTCTTCTCACAGTGCGTTTTCGAATATGAGAAATGCTTCTCCGTCAAACTTCCCTTCCTCAAGCACTGATTTACAAGAACAGATGAGAAACCAGATGAAAGATCCAGCTATGCGGAAAGTACATTCATATTATTTTTTAAGTAGATGGAATGATTAGTAGCCTTCTTCCAAATACCTGGCTGGAATAAATGCAATAAGTTTCCACTTTTACTTTTCGTATGTTACTACAAAAATTATTAGGTATACCCCTGAATTCCGATTCTATATCTCAAAATATTCTTGTGTTCAGTATTTATGTGTATATTTCTTTCCCTTAATTTTTTTAGTTTATGTTGTTTTGGCAGATGTTCACATCAATGTTTAAAAATATGAGCCCGGAAATTATGGCAAACATAGGTGAACAATTTGGGTTCAAGCTTTCACAAGAAGACGCAGCAAAAGCTCAGCAAGCCATGTCATCCTTATCACCAGAGAGCTTGGATAAAATGGTATATTCTTCTCCTTAGTCTAAATGAGGTTGTTTTATTTATATTCATCAAAAAAAAATTGTACCTAAAAAGGAGGATGGTGATATGGAGTTGTGGCAATACTAAGAGATGTTAGATAAAATGAGAGAGAACATTAGGATGCAAGTCAATTTCATGTTTAATTTTACTGTCAATTGGTGTTATGTTCCTTGAAATAACTTAGAGTAGGTAAGCTTAGGTTGGTTCTGTATCTTCTGTAGCGTCACTACGCAATATTGGTTAGTGCTTGTTTTAAGGATTTCCAATTAGAATATTTGATTTTGGATCTTTATATTACTAAAGAACGAAGATTAATTAATATTCTGATTTAACAATGTTATAGAAGAGTATGTATGAAAAAAAAGAAGTAAAATATTCTATCCCCTAAATGATTATGGAACAAACCACATGGATTATTTTTTTAATTTTTCCCTATATTATTTCTTATTTTATAGCAAATTCACTTAGTAATTGTTAGAATTTAAGTTAATAATACATTTGTTATGAATAAGAAGTGAGTTAATAAAGAAAAGAGAAAAGGGAAGATGAAGAGGTGTGTGGGTTTTAACAAGTCTTACATTGGACAACTAGTAGGGAGTGAGAGAGTTTATAAGCTCTCACTTCACTCTCCTAGATTGGCCCTTGGGTCACTACACATTTTGTGGAGAGGAGCTAGGTGGGCTTTGGTCCACCACACACGTGCGCCGCCACTGTCCGTCTGATGCGGTAATTTAAATTATTTTTTAATTTTTTGTCCAAAAATGTATCCGTTGCTTCCCTCCAAAATTTTGAACCCAAACGTTTCCAAACCGGTCAACGATTGTGTCTGCTCATCAAATCGGTCACCGGTTGTTTCTGTTCACCGAACCGGCAACCGGTCGCACCCATTCACCACCATCAGACATGGCGGTTCGCCACCATCAGACACGGCGGTTCGCTGCCAGCGGCGGTTTATCGTGACCGGTCAGTGTCTATTGACAACTTCAAAAATTTATCGATTTTTTTCTGCACTGAAACTCTGCCGGAATTTTTC